ATAGATAAGTACTGCGTTCCAAGTATATGATACAAAATTAAAAACTGATATACCAAATGCAAAGTGTCTATTGAAATTATCGACTATCGGTATATAATTTTTTTCAGAAAAATAAAATGCCGTCTCTGGAATAAATATTTTAATTAGTGCATTTCCAATTCTTTCAAAATAAAGGTTTCTTATTTTATATCAATTTTGCATGACATACCTACCTTTTTATAGATATAAATAGGAAGGAAATAATTGACTTAATTGGTTATATTACAAACATATCTCTACTGGTTGGGTTACTTCCCAAGTGACTTCTCGATTGGTAAACGAATACGAACGTCAACATTTTTATTAATTTAGTTATAAAAAATATTTTAAATTTAAAATTACAAAGTAAATGTAGAAATAACCTAAACATAGAACGACTTATAAAATAAAAATGTGACTTGCATATTGCTGATTTAACTCAGATTTCCTCATTGTTTCCAAATTCCTGCTCCTCGTCTTCCTTCTCCTCGTTATCTTATCACTAATTATATCATCGTCGTCGTCATCCTCATTGATATTTATGATAAATCGTTCTCCATTATTTACGTGTATGCCGCTGTTGTTCCTGTATTCCTCTTCTATTTCATACACATGTTTTATAACTGCTTCCCACTGCGATTTTCCGATCGCATCCATTTGTTCTTTGATCAAGTTGACGACCTGAGAATCAAATTTGGGAAATATATTTTTTCTCCGAATATTTTGTTTCAATTGGCTCTAAGTAACTCTATAGGATTGAAAATACAAAAATATGGTGGTAACCTTAAAACTATGACCTCTTTCAGCTGCAACTTCATCAACTATATACTTTTTTAGGACTTCCAAAAGTTCATCTTTTTTATATTTTTCATCAAAATACATATCGTGATTCATTAAAAATTCTTGAATTTTATCCTTCCTAGAGTTTTTATTAGGTATTTTTTCCTTACGCCTGGAGTGATATGAAGCATTGTCCATAACTATTACACTTTTTGGATTTAAATTAGGCAACAGTGAATTCGTGAACCATTCTACAAAAATATCGGAATTCATATTTGAATTGTAATCAATCTGGCAGCTATCAATTTTTTTTTCAATTAATAGTAAGGCATTGTCAACCCAACCGTCCTCTGAGCCACAGTTTAATATTATCAGTCGAGTGTCTTTATTTGGAGGGATACCTAAGGCTTGGCAATATTTATTATCGTTTGTCCAGTCTTTTTTTGCAGTATCATGCGAATCATACCACGATTCATCCAGAAAATAAATTGGCCTGCTATCATTTTTATATTCACGAATTTTCTGTAAATAAGAATTTCTCCAGTTTACTATTCGTCTTGTTTCCATCACTGCGCTTCTTTTATCTATCGTTTTGTATTTAGAACAATTTTTTTTTTAGCCAATTATGCAATGTAGACCTTTTTATATTTGTATCGAAATAAGTTTCACTTAAGCGTTTATGTATAATATCAAGAGTGGGAATGGTATTTTGTTTATAAAGTTCATACACTGTATTCACAATGGATTTGGCCATGGCTGGATCTAATTTTTTGTCTTCACGGACTTTTCTGCTGGAAATTCCACTTTTTATAATTTGGTTAATTTTATAAACCGATATACCAGTAAGAAACGCTGCTTCTTGAACGGTAGAAGTGTTTTCGATATATCCAAGTTTAAATTTTTTTTATAAACATTTAAACAAATTTGCTGGGACTGTTCATTTTAAAAGAGTTTATTTTTTATTTGCGCAGGCACTGCATTAGTTTCTCCATCACTGTTTGATGTACTGGTGCTCGGAATACTATCCCACGGTCTCCACATAGTTAATAACACATACACAAAAATTATTATTCGTTTATTAAAATTACTATATAACCTCCAAAATACAAACTAATTATTGACCAAACGAACCTAAACACTAATAAAACAAAAACTAATATTCTATAAAATTTTAAAAAGTAAGATGTAGGAGCTGTTATCCGTACAAAACTCAACAGGTCACTAAGGTGAACAAAACTGCACTGAAAGTAAAAATAATTATTTTTATTCAAATGCGTTTGATTTTCCTTTTCATCATTGGTTAAAAATTTCGCAAGTTGCAATACTTTTAAAACGGACAAGACAATATGCTGACAAAGACAATAGCCGTCAAAGGCGATACACCGCCAAAAAACAATATACTTACAGAGGCAGTATACCGACAAAGTTGTTCACGCTTCTAGGAGAAAAAAAGCAAAATTTTATCTAACACACTGAAATCGTTGAAGGAAAACGTCAGTTATAAATTCTACTTATTTTATTCTAATTATATATGTACATAAAAAAATACTATTTTAAATCTTCAAATCGAAAGAAACATATACCTATAATACGTACATATAAATAAATTATTAAATAAAATTTCAAGTAAAAACATATATCTCCGTCTATGGGCGGTCTATGGGCGGTCTATAAAAGAGTTAATTTAGCTGACTTTCGATAAGCAACCCATTCCCTACACCAATTTTTTTTCGAATTATTCAAACAGATGCCGAACTTTTTTTGCGTTTGCGGTATTCCTTTATAGTTGACTTATTGTTTGGATGGACTATAACTTATGTTTACTGCATTCTGTATTTCACAAAAATCCTTTTCCCAAGACCATCAATCCATCAGAAACATTGTAATAATTAAGACCATTATGTCGTTGAGGCACCAGTTTATAGACTTTACGTATGGTGTGGTCAGAACGTTATACAAATATGTACATTTCTTACTAAAAATAAGGACATTAATTATTGTAAACGAGTACACATTTGTATAAGATTCGTTTCTTCCGTTATTTGTAACTTGATACTTTACTTTGTAATAAAAACAATGTATGAACACAGTAAAAATTCCGAATAAAATTTTCTCACTAACCAATTATAACTAGTTGAAATCTCAATGAGTAAAATTATCAGGATTACAATACTTCCTTATATTTGTAAGCATCCCATATACAGTGTTCCATAAAGTTGGATCCCTATGGTATTTTTTAACAATACGATTGGAAAAAAAAACGTCGTAGGACATTCAACTCTGCTTTTTTAAAAACTTAAACTAGCTGATATTAAAGTTGGCAGGTACTGCATTATTTATCTGTCAAACGCAGTAATTTTTTAAAAAATAGTTCAAAAAAAACAATTTGTTTAATGCGAATTTGACAAAAACTAATGTCAGTAGCTAACTTTGATACCGACAATTTTGTTTTTAAATAATCATATTATTAAAAAAATTCACATACGGATCCAACTTTATGGAACACACATGTTAGTATAAGAAAGTAAAAATGCCGATGACATCTTCAGTCAAAGATGGCGCACCCTGTATAATTGTTACGGGTATAAAATCAAAAATGGATCTGTCTCATGATTGTTCATAAAAATTGTTTATTTAGCTAAAATGAATTTATGCGTTTATGCTCAAATGATAACACTTCTTAACGTATTAATTACTGTACAAGTTATTATACACCCAGCCACGTTTAAGTACCACATAAACTTGACAAAACGTATGGTGCGATAATACCATTTGAAATATATATACTGGTGCCACAACCTATTTTAATTAGACGGTGTCTGGCTCACGAGCTAAGAGGTTCCTATCTTCTCAGGAGGATGTACAATGGGCCTAATGAGGCCTAAGTGCAATGAGGTCTAAGTGCCGTGGGGTAACCCACCCTCCACACGTTACAGATACAGATAGTGTGACAAGTCTCCTGATTCACCTACAGTGCTTCAGCGAGTCTGTGGCGCTATGAATGTAATTCCCGAATAGGGGTTGCTCAGGCGCCAGTTTTGATATCGCAGTTTGCTCTGCGGCCCTGGGGTGCACGTAGAGTACACCCTCAGTAGACTTAGTGGAGTCCAGGTACAAACAAAAAAATAAAACGGACAGACCTTCACTGTTAAGTTGACCTACACTGGGGTAGTAAAGTAAATAAAGTTTTTCACTGCACTTTTACCTATTAATCACTACGCCCTGAAAACGGAAAAAAGCAAAGGCGTAATTCAAAATTAAACTCAGGAATTTCAATCAAAAATATATTTACAAAATAAATGAAATAAATAATAATTAAAAATAAAATAAACGGGGTGAAATCGGTATATATATATATATATATATATATATATATATATATATATATATATATCTATCTGTTTAATAACGGTAATAAAATAAATGCAGAACTATGTATGTTGATAAAATAAAAGGTCTCGGTATTTACAGAAAATGATATAACGGTAAAATTAACTATGACCTATACTATACCCATAAGAAAATAAAAATAACAATTTTCCCTTTAAAAAAAATTAAAACGGTGGGCACTAACACCCTTAGCACAAATTCCTTGCTATTAATGAAAACGGCCGGTTTTAGTCATAAGAAAAAAAATCTACAATAGTAAAACTAAATATGATTCAAACTATACGTTTTAAAAATAAAAAAAATTAATAGGCTACTCTCAGTAATAAAAAATATCGGAAATCTGCCAACGGTGGTGAACAGTATCACCCTCCACTCATGAGAGAGAAAAAAAAATGAAGGATGCCTTTGTAAGAACGACACCTAATATCCTCCCCGCAATATTATTTTACTAGGCACAATAGACCAAATAACGGGTGTCTTAAAGCGGTATTATTCGACCAATACTTTGAGAATTTTTATTTTATTTATTCGGTTTCAAATTTCTCTTATGTAGACATCTGGGAATCCATAGCTTCTACAACACAGAAACAACTGCGACTCTCGACAGGGATAGCAAGCGAATACCACTATCATCCCTTGGTTAACACGAAAATGGTTGAAGGGCACTAACGCCCCGGATTTAAATACAATTCGTTACCCTAACAGGTACTAAGAAATCAAAAGTATCGGTCGAATAGCTCATGTAATTAATAGTACGGAAGTGAATGTTACAGGGAGAATTATTAGACGGAATTTTAAATAAAAAGGCCTACCTTAATTAACTTTTCCCAAAAATCGCTTTCGGTAAAACGGCACTTCAGTAAGACAACTTTTACTATCGAACTCACGGTAACAGCAGGAAAAGAGGGCTCCTTCATCGCAAACATTTAGTTTTATCAGAATTCGTACTTTTGCCGGAGTGGGGCGGTAGCCCCACCTAGAGGAAATAAATTGTTATTGCAAAAAAAACGTTAATTGATCAGCTACTGATAAAATCTACTACTATTGCAATTTTACGAGACGATTTACGTTATTGTGATATTGAAAAGTTTTAAACTACGAGGGCTCTTGTAAAGATTTAAAAACGGTAATTCTATGGAAACATTAGTTACGGGGGGTCTTGAAAATGTTCATAGACGGAAATTATTTTTAGAAATTAATTTATGGAATAAATTAATGGGAATTTTAGTGACTTCGTCACAATAGACGGTGCCATAATGACGTTAATTATAATACTGGTGCCACAACTACATTAGACTTAACAGGTGCCACAATGCATTTATATATAATTGTTCATATCCATTCTGTAGGAAACCCCAAATAACAAGAATATTATTTAGTTTAGTAATATTCGTTATAATTCACTTCAACTTACTGATTTAATCGAAAAATGTTATTTGTTTTCTTGTATTCTTGTATAATAATGTGTAAATTGGTAATTGTTTCAGTTTGTTTGGACAAAATAGTTAGATCTATTAACAAATTATTATAAATATACTAGTTTTTTTACCTATGAAGAGTACGGATACTCTTTTTACTTCGTTTTCCACAATAAAAACACGTCTTCATCGTAATTTGTTGACACAATTAAATGACAAATGGAAATAAAATGTTAAATCAGGGCTGGTATATCTAAGGGGTTCGCGACATAGACCCACTAAATTGATGAGGGGGTGACTGAGGCTAGGGAGGAAATAGTAGTCAGCTTAAGTTGGCAACACTTCTGATTTTCGTTTGGCGAAATCCACGGTTATCATTTGTCCTGCATCGTGCAAAACAATGTCAATATGGTACAAGTGGAATGAACCACTGTTTTCCTCGTAGTTTTTTTGTACTTTTTAACCGACTTCAAAAAAGGAGGAGGTTATCAATTCGTCGCGATATTTTTTTTTTATGTATGTTCAGCGATTATTCTTTAACACAGTGTCCGATTTCAATGATTCTTTTTTTGTTAGAAAGGGGGTACTTCAGGGGTGGTCCCATATAAATTTGATTAAAATCTAATAATTTTATCCATGGAAAAATTCTCAAACTCTTCATTTTTTACTTTCCTATCTGTATACAGATATATGGAAAGTATAGGAATCATGATTTTTTTCGACCTCGAGTTTTCGACGGATTTTTACGTTTTGAGGTCCCCTGAATCCGTTTTGACTATTTTCGCGATGATGTCTGTCTCTGTGTGTGTGTGTGTGTGTGTGTGTGTGTGTGTGTGTGTGTGTGTGTGTGTGTGTGTGTGTGTGTGTGTGTGTGTGTGTGTGTGTCTGTCTGTGTGTGTGTGTGTGTGTGTGTGTGTGTGTGTGTGTGTGTGTGTGTGTGTGTGTGTGTGTGTGTGTGTGTGTGTGTGTGTGTGTGTGTGTGTGTGTGTGTGTGTGTGTGTGTGTGTGTGTGTGTGTGTGTGTGTGTGTGTGTGTGTGTGTGTGTGTGTGTGTGTGTGTGTGTGTGTGTGTGTGTGTGTGTGTGTGTGTGTGTGTGTGTGTGTGTGTGTGTGTGTGTGTGTGTGTGTGTGTGTGTGTGTGTGTGTGTGTGTGTGTGTGTGTGTGTGTGTGTGTGTGTGTGTGTGTGTGTGTGTGTGTGTGTGTGTGTGTGTGTGTGTGTGTGTGTGTGTGTGTGTGTGTGTGTGTGTGTGTGTGTGTGTGTGTGTGTGTGTGTGTGTGTGTGTGTGTGTGTGTGTGTGTGTGTGTGTGTGTGTGTGTGTGTGTGTGTGTGTGTGTGTGTGTGTGTGTGTGTGTGTGTGTGTGTGTGTGTGTGTGTGTGTGTGTGTGTGTGTGTGTGTGTGTGTGTGTGTGTGTGTGTGTGTGTGTGTGTGTGTGTGTGTGTGTGTGTGTGTGTGTGTGTGTGTGTGTGTGTGTGTGTGTGTGTGTGTGTGTGTGTGTGTGTGTGTGTGTGTGTGTGTGTGTGTGTGTGTGTGTGTGTGTGTGTGTGTGTGTGTGTGTGTGTGTGTGTGTGTGTGTGTGTGTGTGTGTGTGTGTGTGTGTGTGTGTGTGTGTGTGTGTGTGTGTGTGTGTGTGTGTGTGTGTGTGTGTGTGTGTGTGTGTGTGTGTGTGTGTGTGTGTGTGTGTGTGTGTGTGTGTGTGTGTGTGTGTGTGTGTGTGTGTGTGTGTGTGTGTGTGTGTGTGTGTGTGTGTGTGTGTGTGTGTGTGTGTGTGTGTGTGTGTGTGTGTGTGTGTGTGTGTGTGTGTGTGTGTGTGTGTGTGTGTGTGTGTGTGTGTGTGTGTGTGTGTGTGTGTGTGTGTGTGTGTGTGTGTGTGTGTGTGTGTGTGTGTGTGTGTGTGTGTGTGTGTGTGTGTGTGTGTGTGTGTGTGTGTGTGTGTGTGTGTGTGTGTGTGTGTGTGTGTGTGTGTGTGTGTGTGTGTGTGTGTGTGTGTGTGTGTGTGTGTGTGTGTGTGTGTGTGTGTGTGTGTGTGTGTGTGTGTGTAACGCATAACTCATGAACCGATACACAGAAAAACACCAAATTTTAAACTTAAGCTTTTTTTCAGCGTCCAATGAGCTGATAAGATTTTGGGCAGAGTCGGAACATTTGAGGGGGTACTTTATAGGTGGTCATTTTTATATTTTATAGAATATATCTGTTATTTACGTTTGGAGAAGAAAATTCTTTAAATAAAAGTTACTTCTAATATAATTATCTATAATTTTTGTTTTATGCAACATTTTCCTAAAATGGTCCGTATTCGAGAAATTTGACAAAATGTAAAAAAAATAATTTTTTTATAAAAATTGTTCAAATAAAAGTTGTTTGTAATATAATTCTCTATAATTTTTGTTCTATACATAATTTCTCTAAAATGGACCGTATTCGAGATATTTGAGAAAATGTGTAAATTTCGAAATTTGAAGAAAACTCAAAAACGGATAAAGGAAAAAACATTAAATTTTAAACTTAAGGTTTATTTCGGCCTGACGTGAAATGATTAGATTTTGGACAAAGTCGGAACATCTGGGGGGGTACTTTATGGGAGGCCGTTTTTATATTTTATGGAATATGTCTGTTATTTATGTTTGGAGAAGAAAATTGTTCAAATAAAAGTTACTTCTATAATTTTTGCTTTATGTCAAAATTTCCTGAAATGGTCCGTATTCGAGAAATTTGACAAAATGTGCAAAATTCTGATTTTTATGAAAATTGTTGAACTAAAAGTTGTTTGCGATATCGATTTCTATAATTTTTGTTTATACATGATTTTTCTAAAATGGACCGTAATGGAAAAGTGCTAAATTTAAATTTTTCTGTGTTTTCGTTTCCAATGAATATCTATAGAAAAATGTTTCGAGGTAGATGTATGTGTAAAATGTATATATTTAGTTTATCCTCTAAACATTTATAGAGATGCTGCAATAGGTTGTACAAAATAACCGGAAAATGCCTATAATAACTAGATAGGAAAGTCATGTGTTGGACACATCAGATTTTTATGTATGTTTAGCGATAATGCGTGTGTGTGTGTGTGTGTGTGTGTGTGTGTGTGTGTGTGTGTGTGTGTGTGTGTGTGTGTGTGTGTCTGTGTGTGTGTGTGTCTTTATAACGCATAACTCATGAACCGATACACGGAAAAACACCAAATTTTAATTTTAAGCTTTATTCCAGCGTCTAATGAGCTGATTAGATTTTGGGTAGAGTCGGAACATCTGGGGGGGTACTTTAGAGGTGGTCATTTTTATATTTTATGGAATATATCTGTTATTTACGTTTGGGGAAGAAAATTTTTTAAATAAAAGTTACTTCTTATTTTATTATCTATAATTTTTTTATTTACAAAATTTTCCTAAAATGGTCCGTATTCGAGAAATTTGACAAAATGTAAAAAAATATTTTTTTTTATAAAAATTGTTCAAACAAAAGTTGTTTGTAATATAATTCTCTATAATTTTTGTCCCATAGATAATTTCTCTAAAATGGACCGTATTCGAGATATTTGAGAAAATGTGTAAATTTCGAAATTTGAAGAAAACTCAAAAACGGATAAAGAAAAAATCAATAAATTTTAAACTTAAGTTTTATTTCGGCCTGACGTGAAATGATTAGATTTTGGACAAAGTCGGAACATCTGGGGGGGTACTTTATGGGAGGCAGTTTATATATTTTATGGAATATATCTGTTATTTATGTTTGGAGAAGAAAATTGTTTAAATAAAAGTTACTTCTAATATTATTATCTATAATTTTTGCCTTATGTAAAAATTTCCTGAAATGGTCCGTATTCGAGAAATTTGACAAAATGTGCAAAATTCTGATTTTTATGAAAATTGTTGAAATAAAAGTTGTTTGCGATATCGATCTCTATAATATTTGTTCATACATGATTTTTTTTAAATAGACCGTAATGGAAAAATTGTAGGAAAAGTGCTAAATTTAAATTTTTCAGTATTTTCATTTTCAATGAATATCTATAGAAAAATGTTTCGCGGTAGATGTATGTGGACAATGTATATATTTAGTTTATCCTCTAAACATTTATAGAGATGCTGCAATAGGTTGTACACAATAAACGGAGCCTGTAATAACTAGATAGGAAAGTCATGTGTTGGACACATCAGATTTTTTTGTTAGTAAGGGGGTACCTCAAGGATGGTCCCATGTAAAATTTGTTAAGATGTGGTGACGGCATCTACACGGTTTTGATGTCGGTTTTTTAAATTTTTAATTTCTAATACTTGTTTATATACCGAATTACGCATTTTGTTTCCACTTAATTTTAATGTTACATATGAATAGATACATGCATTTGTGCTGTGGTAAATAAGTGTTCATATGAAAATTATCTCTGAAACTGCATTGTGGCTGCACTCATCTCAAAACTGAATGCTGTAAATCCAGGATTTAAATCTTTCATAGTGTTGCTTGGGATAAATTGTAAAAAAGCTGTTGGACAAAACGTTTGCAACCTAAAATTGCATGGAAAACATCATAGAAGAAGGAATTTTACCTTTATGACATTCTCTTTCAACATTTTTAAGTGTCTATGTTTGTGGTTTGGTGAATGGACTCAATTACCAGTCAAAAAATTCAAATTAAAAAAAAGTGACTAAGTTCTAATAAGAATACATATAAGTTGAATATGAAAATGTAATTACTTGATTTAAATGTGATTTAATTAAGAGCTAAATATATGTTTTATATAAACAAAGTGCTGTAAAATGTAAAACCATTATTAAAGAGAAATTAGTTATCATCAATAGAATATTTTGTAATAGCTGGTCTCTTTAAATAATAAACTTGAAAGACTGCGAATTAGTAGTCACTTTTAAACTAGAAGTAAAAACAAAAACAAAATGTGTAGTTTGAGACTAATTTATGTATTTATAAAAATATATAGGTATTTAACATGTTTTATTTAAATAAAAAACAGGTGTTATTTAAAATGTTTTATTTTAGTTTAATAATATTTATAAATTGTGGGTACATTTGATCCGAATCTTGCTTAATACTATAAAATGCATATGCATTTCTATATGGTAATACGGTTAGTATTGGAGTAGAAGCACAAAAGTTTTGATTAAAAATATATTCTTAAAATACAATATTCACTAGATGTGCTAATTTAGGTAATTTCCTATTCGAAGCCATACATGTTTCCTATTATAGTTTTCATACGTTTATAATTCTGGAGATACTGAAATATTTTGCTTGATTACTAAACTTTGGTTGTTATTGTTGTGGTCTGCTGTTAACACTATTGTCCTGAAATATTAAAAAAGCTTGACAAAGGTTTGTCCAACTCTTTTGTCAGCTATGTTAATCTATGCTACTGTTATTCTGCATGCAGACATTTTTTACTGGAAATTTTCTCTAAGAACTGTATTCAGTTTAAAATTTCGGCCAGTTTTAGGAAAGTACCTACCTCTGTTGTAAAGGTATTTCAAAGCCATCCTTTGTAAGATGTAGCCTACAAATACATGCTAAAATGTATAGAAAACAAATCGCAAGATATTACACAAAATTATTTAAATTAAATAAAAACATAAAAATTAAGTGAATAATACCCACCAACAATATAAAAAGACCTAAAATAAATAGACTTAGGGGACTGGAACTCTAAAAAGGGAGCCATAATTTGTTATACATCCCCATCTATAAGAAAATTGTCTTCATATCCTCAATTACCTTTTAAAATAAACCAAAACAGCACAAAATTGAAAGTGATCTACTTTTCACGACGTATGTGAGATTATTAATAATGTATTAATTAAAATATTTTAACCTAAAAAATATGGGCATCTTATAATGAAAATGTCATTTAAAAACAAACATTGATTTTTTTCTTATTTGGTAAGGCCTGGCGACTACGGGTTGCCACGTTGCCAGATCAATGGGCGACTACTATTTGGAAAAAAATGGCGTCCAAAATGGACTCCCATGTCGCGACCTCCTTAGATATACCAGCCTGATGTTAAATAACATCCGGTCCGCCATATTATATACCCAAGCCCAAATCGGCCAATTTTTCGAAACGTTTTTTATCCAGTAAAATCTCAGAGTAAGTAAGTAGTAAAGAGAGGACAGTAAACAATGTTTGTGTCGCCATGATAATATGGTCGAGAATTAGGCATTCCAAACTGAATGGCTACCAGTGGGTTCTGACGGGTTATGATATGGCAAAATTATGGCAACCCTGTAGGCCTGGTGATTTGACAAGGTCAATAAAATAGATAGTTACATAGATTGATCATCCATATTTTTTAAAATAAACATAAGCTTATGCCTTGAAGTAAAAATGTAAGCAATTTTTTTTTAAATATCTAAAGGCTAAAAATTGGTTTTAAAACACATTTTTGCTAAACCGATTCAAATTAATTAATATTTGCCAGGCAATATGGCCGCTCGTAAACGACCAGCTTTGAGCAATCTATATAACTATATATGTATCATTGACCCTATTAATGACAACATGACAACAGGGTTGCCATATCTAAACTGTCATTATCCACTGGTAGCCATTTGGACAGGTCGTTGGAATGCCTATTCTAATTAGAGAGAAATAGATTAATATCTCTATCTCTTTGTTTGTATTTGTCAGTTTTACAGAGCTTTTCTCAGACAATTATTCCAGTGTTTAATTTAAATTTGTTCGTGTTGTGGTGTTAAAAGTAATTGTTATTAATATTATATTCATAACAAAAAAGTCATATTTTGTTTTCACTTCATTAAAAATGCACATACCTACCTTTTAAAACATTTTATTTTATATTCTATTTGGTCAACATTTTCGCATTTAAAATGACCCAGCGAAATTGTTTTACGGTACGCTACTGCTGAGAATTCTAAAACGAGTGAGAAAGCCTTCATTAGAAAGAGAGATACTGATTATATGATAGCGAGATTAATATTGTATAACTTTATGCAGTGGTGGCCTATCTGCTATTATATTATCTAAGAGTAAAATAATGCAGATCAGTGGTCTGCAGGGTTGCCAAATCTAAACTCTCAGTTCCCACTGGAAGCACTGTGACAGGTCATTGGAATGCCTAATAGTGCTCTTCGTCGTCTGATTTACATATGGATGAGCAATACAGATAACTATATATCATTGGATATTTCCCTTCTGGTACACGAGCGCCATTCTGATGGTCACTTTATGAAACCCTATTTACTACTTTTGGGTGGACACTTTTTGGAATAGACAACTACACTCCATAGGTATTACATAGAGTCTATTGAATACATATTTATGTCTATTCCATTTCAGCCTCGAGCTTTTTCTCTAATAAAATTTTTTATGGTTTCTCTAACAATCCTGTCTCTATGGTCGATATTTTGTATATTTCATGTCAACTGAGACATTTTGTCAGTTTCTGTTTGTTGCAACAAACTTCAAATTTTTTGTAATTTCATCTATGTTCATCCTTTCAATGATCAAAATTCAGATGTAATTAATTTTACATAAAATATTTTAGGTGAGTGTTTAGTTATAAAGATTTCATTAAAAGAAGGGTACAAGTAACTTCTAAATTAAACTAAAAAAATTTTTTAGACATGGATTAATTGAATAGTGTGAATTTACACATCAACATATAAAATGTGACGCGTTATATTTAGGAACCAACCTATTTCATTTTGGGTTTATTACAGTTCCAATTCTAAAAATTCACCATGAATATCAAGAAAAAATACGATCCTTTACCAGGAGGAGAAGACGAAAGCTTCAGTGACATGTTGTCCCCTAGTCGTACCTCAAATATATATACCACCAGCAGAAATTTCAATGTTGCTAGTTGTCCCACAGTCAACGAAGGACTTGAACCCGATTATGACGAGTCAATACTAACTGAAGAAAATAATCTATTAGCATCACAGGTTGAACAATCCGCTTGTACTTCAAAAAGTACCGAAAAAACTAAAGCCAAAGTCATTATCAATGCGCCGTCATCTGTAAAAGACAGACCTGTTAACTTGAAACTAATAAATCGAAGACCAACAGGGTTTATTAGATTGACTAGTGAAGAATTGTCGAGGGATAGTTCTTTATATAGAGGAACAACTTCTAAATCAAACCAAAAAAGTGTCGAAGAGCAACTGGGTACAGTTACAATAAGAGTACCAGCGAAAATAAATAAACCTGCTAACCTGAAAATAGTACATAGGAGACCTACAGGATTTATTAGAACTCCTCTAGAGATAGATAGTTCTTTTAACCAACAAACAAGCGAAGATGATGAAGACGACGAGACATCTAATCTGAATTCTATTGAGGAAATACCTGGTAATATTATAGCATGCCTACACGGTACTGATAACAAAAATAATCAGTTTGATGATTGTGTTTGTATAGATTGTCCTAATTATACCAAATTTCAGGGACATAACAATAATCAAGTAAAAGACCATCAAGAATTTTGCCGAAAAAGAGGTGCTAATGGTGATGATGAATCTTGTATCGAGGAGCGTGAAAATACTTCTGAAACTAATGATGAAAGTGATCCAGATAATAGCGAACATGAATTTTCAAACAAAGAAAGATCAAGTAATCAATCTGATAATGATTCTAATGAATATCAAGGGTTAGATTCATCTGATATCAATTATGATCATCGAAGAGAGGTTAACCTCATACAAATGCCTGATGGAGCTAGAGATGAAAACTGCGATAATGATTCTGGAAGTACTCCTTCAAATGAATCTGACGAGAAAATCTCTGAAGAATATGCAAGAGTGGAAAGCGAGGAAGATGGTTCTAGAATTAGTCCTATTTCTGACGAGTTTAGTAATAATTCTAGAATCAGTTCTACTTCTGACGAGTCTAGTGATGAAAGTTCTCAAGATCGTTCAGAATTATATAAAGAAAGTCTTACTGTACTTACTAGCGACAAAGGAGAAGATACTGTTTCTGGAACCATTCATACTTCTGGGGACTTCGCTGAAATAGATTCTCAAGAGATAGAATCAGAGGACGCACATCAAAGCCCTCCTGAATGTCTAGATCAGAAAAGTAAAATAAAATGGGATATTGCTGCTTCTAGATTAGAATTACATCAAGAACATGCCATACCAAGAGGCTTATCTCAGATTTCTACTGACCCTACAGGTTCTACAAATGATAAAAATAAAGATGCAGATTCTGGAAGTATTCATACTTCCGAGGATTCTTCTGATGAAAGTTCAGAAGTAGCATCAGTCAAAAGTGAAAGTTCAACTATATCCACAGGGGTGCCAAGTCTAGATATTAAAGGTATTTTTCAAGATCCCATATATCTAGGAGGGTCTAACGAAAGTGTAGGCAGAACTAACGATTCTAGTTCTGGAAGCAGTCTTATTTTGGAAGAATCTAGTGAAAAACCTAAAATTAAGAAACAATTGGAACCATCTACTATAGATAATAAAAGCGACAAAGCTGATTCTTCTAAAGAACATGCTAAAGATAGAAAGGCAGTTACTTTAGTTGAAGATGAAAAAGTAGCTGCTTTAATTGAAAATAAACCTAAGAATATGAAAATTCTAAAACGGAGTCCTACAGGTTTTATCAGAACTGTTCAGGAATACTATATTGAAAGAAGAAAAAAATTGAAAGGACCTGCTAGGTTTGCTTTCCAGTGTGATTCTTTCATCATCAGAGATTATTGGAAGAAGTCGAAGCCTGCTATAAAGAGTATTCCAGTGGGAGGTCCTCCACCTCCATTACCTAAAAGGCTCAAAAGAAAGTGATAATAATTGGTTCAGAATGAATTTTGAAAAGAGCAATTTTTTTAGTCCAAGCAGTTAATTTGAGCTTATTTAATGCAATTACGATTATTACCATTTTGAAAATAAAATATATATTTTGAAAGGTACGTTTATAATTAAAAAAAGGTGGGTAGCTGTGATAGATGTGGTAGATGTCGTAGATGTTTTTTCAACTTTTCTTTTATCAGCATGCTAACGGACTATAACAGTCAAAATTTTTTATTACTCCATTTTAAACTTTACCACTTATAAAGTACTAGGCTAGGGTTGCCATCTTTTCTTAAAACCAAACGTGATTAATCTAAGCTAGAGGATACATAATGGGTGTCTCAGAAATATTTTCCGTCGCTGGCGCTACAGGCACATTTCCAAATTAAGGCGGAGTTAAACGGTGCCAGTAACTTACACAAGTCACTAAAATCCAGTACTGGATTTTAGTACTTACCTGGTGTAGACAGATATTTTAGTACTAAAATTTAGGACTGGTTTTAGTGATGATTCCAGTTGTTACCTTCTTTTTTTAGATTTCTTCGATGTAAATTGTACTTAAGAGGTGATTTAGCTCAAATTGTTGATACTGCGTGGATTCATAAATTGACCAGGACAAATGAAATCAGAGTAGCTTGACCGGTTCGCAGGCCAAGGTCTACTTTACGATAAAATGAAAGATTACAATACGATAACGACAAAAAAATGTTGAGCGCCACCAAGTTTTTGACTAACTTGGAAAACTTATCTGATTTGATATGTCCTGTTTAATTGAGTCAGTATCTGGTACTTAAAGTTATCCGTATGGGTTCTGGCAAATAAAAGAAAGTGAGAAAATTTAATATATTTAATAAAAAAATAAAAGAGTGATATTTTACATATAATAAATTGATAGTGATTAAATCTGAATAGAAATAAAATTGACTGATATTATATGAATGAATAAATGAATGAATAAAATTTACTGTTACTTAGATAAATATTAATCCCGACCATGTGGCATTCTAGTACGGTAAGTACGGTACTTCCCTTTTGTATGTCGTGTCGTGGAAAATCGCCTTTAGATACTTCGATACTTGGGGCTTGGAGCTCCGAAATTGGAGAAACTGCTTAACTCGGACTTCTTGTTTCTTGGAGCTGGGATCTTAAAGCTTCCTGGAGCAACTACGTAACTTCTTGACTTCTTGGGGCTTCTAAGAGCTTCTTGGAGCTTCTTAAAGTTTATTGGAGGATCTTAAACTTCTTGGAGGAACTTGGAGCTTCTTAAAGCTTATCTTAGTTTTATTGGAGCTTCTTCTTGAAGGTTCTTAAGCTTCGTAGAGAAGCCTCTTCTTGGAGCCACTGACAATTATCCCAACGTTAACACACAATAAACAAATAAAAGACAGATAATTACTAGCAACTAATTTTAATACATTTATCGGCACAGCTAGCACTTTGAATTCGAACACCAAAAAGAGCGAGTGATTCCAAACGAATGGGTTGTATGGCGACGTGGATGCCCAAAGAAACTAGGTTTCGTGCGCAAACGGTGCTTTGTAAAAATCGAAGCGAAGCGAGCAGTGGTCGTCGTTTAAGCTGTGCTACGAGGGGTTATGGAGAAGTTGTTAAAAATAAATTTTAAATTAATTTAAAAATTAATTTCACGTAACACAGTCCAGTGAATAGAAAGCATTTCTATTTACTGTTACAAGTAGCTATCCTACTACCACTAAAATGCAAAAAAAATCTATGTGAACACCAAAGCTCCTCTATTTACATTTAAAACCCGGTCATACATTGCAAAGAAACGTAGCGCGTAGCTATTTCGTAAATGAACCGACATTCGTTTCCTGGTGCGCTGTTGTCAGGCTGTGTAGTTTATCCCTTTCATATTTAAAAATAGTTTTTAACTATATAACTCACTAATAGCATCAAGTTTTATTCATTAGAATAGTTTCGAGATATATTGCGACACATCAAGCGCCCCACCAATTCATTTTCGTACCTAGTGCATGGGCGAAGTTAAGGGGGGGCTTGGGGGGGCTAAGCCCCCCCAAAAACCAAATTAGCCCCCCCAAAAATAATTCGAACATTTATCGCACATCCACCCAAACATTTCAGATTTCAGAACAGAAATTAAAAAATAAAAAGAATCGTGCCATTTGATTCTGCAATTTTACATTTAGTTCAGGAGGCAGTGAATTTTTTTCGTATTCATTTTTCCAGTCGGTGTATATGAAAAATAAACTGTTCTCTTAGTGACAAAAAACAAAATTTTTGAGTCTGACACTTATTTTCCCAGTCATAACTATTTTACATTTACTAAACTAGAACATAAAGCTTATAAAAATGGCAGTTTGGATTATCTCAGATAGTGGAAAGTGAGTGTGGCAGAAAATTGAGCATATAAATTGATACAATCATGAACTGTTTATAATAATAAGTCTGGCTGATTTACGAAATTGGCTAATGAGTCTGGTAATATCTTCTAAATGAAAAAAATATAATATTTTTGCTTTTATTTTCCCGGGTTTGAAAATTTGTCACGTGATAGATTAAATTATAATTTTACACCTCCATTTTATAGCCAATCAACTGCTTTTATTTTAAAACACTTTCATGACAACCAGAAAAATTTCCGGAAATTTTTCTTTTGGTGGGTACCCTTAACGAAATTATACTGAATTTTTTTTTGACAGTTGAGCAGCTCTTTCATGCATATAAAAAATTTGCCGTTTCAGTGGTTAATATTTTATTTAATACCAATTATAACTAGGTAGAAATACACTACATTTATTTTATGTAAAATAATAATTAGGTTTTTCGCGTCAACTAAACGACTTCAAATATGACAAATGGTCATGGTATGGCCACAGCATATAAAACATATGTTTTATATTCTGTGGTATGGCAAAGTAACTTTCAGAATCTTTGAAAATTTGATTTTAGTCGTTTTAATGCATGTCTGTCAAGTTTTGAAATTTGGATAATTTGGTGTAAAACTTTCTTACCCAATACCAAACGTGCCTAAATTATTATCAGTAAATTTTTGCACACTCACGCATATTTTAAGAACATTATCCATCTACTTAGGATAAATTTCAAAATATTCGTAAGTGAAAATACACGTCTGGCTGACAATTACAATTACGGAGGCCTGCCAGACTCACAAGTAGTGTCCGACCGAATGTTCGGTTACGGTTTCTGCCAACTTTGGCTTTAAATAATAGTTTCGACTACAGTTTCGGTTTCGGCGGAAAACTGGCCGAAACTGCAGCCGACAGCGAAACTACTTTTAAAAGTTTTCGTATCACAATTGGTTGTGTCCGGCACAATGGCCACTGTGCCGGGTGCCATTCCTACACAGTGCATGTACACACAAACTTCTCTGCTTTGTTTCAAGTGAACATGTCAATAAATTTATTAATGGCTTCTTTTGATCACATAAATAAACAGGTAATAAGTAAATGTAGCTAAAATTTATAATACGAGTTAATTAGTCTAAAACAAGGATTACAATGAGATTTCAATAAGAGATTGTCTTAGACGAGTCTGGCAAGGCTTTCGGGGTGTTCCACATTAGCCAGATTGTATTTTAAGCTGTTATCATAATATACATTTTTCTAGTAGTGAGAACACTTGTAACAGGGATCCTTACTGGACATTGCCAACTAAAATTACTCCTTAGTAAACTGAGAGTAGTAGAAGATAGTACAGATTTTGTGAGGAGGAGGAAAAAATCTTCATTCACATTCTAACTAAATGTGTAGCACTTCAGAATTCAAGGGCACTATACCTATGAGCATATCAAATAGAAGAGGGAGATTTACCTAACTTGAAGCCACTCCAAATCCTACACTTCCTTGAGAAGATATAATTGGAAGGATCTTTATTCTCGATTCAAGCTAAGTGATACGCCCTCTGGAGGAAATTTGTAGAAGGTCCCTATAAGTAGGATATCATTCATTGTTGCCAGAAGTAGCAAAATTTCGCTACGTCGTCGGATTTTAGCTCTTGAAGAAGTGGATAAGACCTTTTATTTAAGAATCAAAATTTGTGTATAGTAATATGTAATCATACTCTATATTTATTTAAGGACTTTTTTATAAAACCGATTTATTATATTAATTTCTTTTTTTAATTTCAGTTCATTTATTAATTTTGTTTTAAAATCAGTTCATCATTTGGCAACGAGTTCATTGTTTACATTTTAATTTGTATCAATTACAATTCGAGTTTTTCTTACTTTTTAGCTTTAAATTTGTTTATTTCTTATAGTATGTGATAGTGTTTATGTTAAAAATGAAATCTGCGAAAAAGTCCCCAGCAAATTGCAATCTATATGGTGCAAGTGCAAGTCGTAAAATTTAGTTTTTTACCATAAATGGATATCTACAAATTCACAATATTGAAATTTTGCAAAACTTTGTTTAGAATCGATATATGATATTTTATCCATTTTCATAGATTCGCCAGAATTTTTTTACTTAACTTCAGTAGGTATACCTCTAGAACTATTATATATTATATGACTAGGGCTAGGGCTTTAGCCCCCCCAGATCTGATGACATAACTTCGCCCATGACCTAGTGCAGTGTTTCCACATCCCCAACTAGCCATTCATAAAAGTGTATTTGTTGTGAAGTTCTCATCATCATCTATTGTATAGTCCAGGAGACAGTGATGATTTTCGGTATTTATTTTCCCAGTCAGCAAGCACGAATAGAGAATTGTAGGATTAGCAATTCTAAGCAAAATTCATATATATTTAGAGGGGGGATCCGATGGGCTGAGGCCGAAAATGCGTCAAAACATACGAGAACACGGCCCTTTTTTTCCATTGATAAAAATAGTTTTAGTAGTAAGAGATGTACTGAAGTTAAGTAAAAAATAGTCTGATTAATCTGTATGGATAATATATTTGGCAAGTGCATAAAATACACTTTCAAACGAGTTATGTACACAATTATTTCTACGACCACAATTATTTAAAGAATGTTCCAGGTGTTTTGTATATTAAAGTGTACGCATAGGACACATAAATAAAATCTTATATCACAATGTTTCACCTAAGCAGTTGGTTTATTTATAGAAATTAAACATAATAATTGAAGATATTACAGAAGAAAATAGGG